TATATTTCAATTTTATCAGAAGTAGTAAAATTCTTTTGATCATCAACTTTCGATTCCTTGGATATCGTACACGTCGGAAACCTCTTAGTGATTGTTTTTATTTTCACTGAACAACAAATGTAAAAGAACTTCCAGATTAATCTGTTAATGATTCTTGGATTTTTCTTCACTCATTTGTTCCTTTATCGATTAGGAGCTGCATTATTATTACTGGTAGTAAGTAATAGCATATAAGGTTATTAATTACTGTAGGTAATTAGAAATAATCTATGAAAGTAGCAAAAGTCAGAAACTAAGAGTGTTATCAAGTCATATAATATTAAAAGTAATAACTCATAGAAGCAATGTTGTTATTAGTGTATTAGTAGTAATAAAGTATATAAAATTATTACCAATTATTGAGCAGTCATCCTATTCCGCAAAGTTACACATTCCTGCATCGCATAAGACCATCAAACTCATCATCATTCAATTCCGGAATTCCTGACATCCAATTCCTACCCATGCCATCGAATTTTACGGAATTCCTGCATATTCCTGCATAGGTTGATGTATTCATGTTCAACTAAACCTTGCTATGGAACTAAAGATGCAATTCCGTTTTAGAATTCCAAAATTGCATCGATATGGAATGACCAGGAATTCCTGCCAATTCCTGTCTATTTCTGCATAGGTTGGTGTATTCATGTTCAACTCAACATTGCCATAGAAATAAAGATTCAATTCCGTTTTAGAATTCTGGAATTGCATCGATATGGAATGACCAGGAATTCCTGCATTTCCTGGTCATCGCTAATCTTGTCTAATTCCTGAATTCCACTATCCATTCATTCAAGCTCTGTAAATGATCACTTAGCCATCCATGAGATACTTGTAATTCCCGAATAGGCAGGAATGACCAGGAATTCCTACATTTCCTAGTGATTCCAGATATGCACAAATTCCGGAATTCCGCTTTGATATTGAATAGATCTTTTAAGATGATCATTTCGTTATTCAGTATATCCTTCGAATTCTGGAATTACCCGCAATGACCAGGAATTGGATGTTGAGAGTTAGATTTGAAAGGAACTACGAATCAGGAATTCCTGGTTGTGGCATGTATTTGAGGGAAAGGGTCGTTTTAGGTTTTCCGGAATTGATGGTAAGAGATTCCGGGTCAGAAGGCAATGCAGGAATGTGTAACTTTTGGGAATAGGAAGTATTCTCCAATTATTGAGTAATAATAATAAAGAATAATTCAGTAAAACCTCTACTAGAGAGCAGCTCTCTACAGTGGAAACCTTGTTATTATTAGCGTTTTTCACGAGTCCGAAAAGTCAATTGTTGCTGAAAATGGACGTCTCGAAGGGAATAGGTGGTTAAAGGTCGAAATGGAAAATGTCGAAAGCAGATTGTCGAAAATCTAAATCCTTTTTGATCACAGATTTCGCCCTCACCGTCACTGTTGTGCTCTGTGAATGTGTACCGTATTACATTCTATTGATCAAATCTTAGAAAAAGTTTTCCATCAAGGATTTACAAGGATTTACAGGGGTTCATAATTTTCGACATTTTGCTTTTCTACATTTTTTTTTCTACATTTTCACTTTCCACATTTTCCTTTCGACATTTTGACACTTTACCCTCGAAAGTGAACACATGTTTATTATGAACGTTTTTCAGTAGTCTCGATCATGCTTACTTTAGAGAGACTTCACTGTAGTAATGTAGCAACCTTATTATTGATTTCCACATGCTCTGAATTAAACAATAAAATATATTTGAGATTTCCTTTTCTTATATAAAAAAGAATCAGGAGTTTCTCGGAGCTGGAATCGGAGTCAAAAAGTAAAAAAGGTTCGAAGTTGAAGTTGAAATCGAAGTCGTAAAGTAGGAATGTTTTGGAGTCGAAGTCAGAATCGGAATAAAAAAATTTGACTCCGTCCGTCTCTACCCTTGGATTCTCAGGTACTACTATGGTGAGGTATCATTGGAACCACAAGACCTACTATAGAGGATACTCTTGGGTCCTCAAGTACTATTATAGCGAGGTACGCTTGAACCCTCAAGTCCTATACTAAGCGGGGGTACCCTTCCGTCCTCAAGTCCTACTATAGAGGGCATCCTTGGATTCTCAGGTACTACTATAGGGGAACGTTTGAATCCTCAAGGTCTTCTAGAGGGGCTAGTCTTGGATCCCCATGTCTCAAATTAGAAGGTATTCTTGGATTCTCTAGTTGTATACTAGACGGTACTAGAAATCTGATCTTACCGTTACCAGAAAGCGGGTAGTGGGATAATTTCCTCGTTCTAGGATTACAGTGAGGACAGTAACTTTTCCGTTACCCGGTGATTGTAACGCTTAAGTCTCTCGAACTTCTCTAACTATCGGTGTACCTTGAATTTCACATGGTCTATAATCTGGGAGAGGCAACTAGCCATGACCAGCAATCTGAGAAGGTACGCCTATAGCCTCATGAAATCTGGTATACAGGTTCCTGAAGTCTTTAAAACAGTTTCAGAATGTGCGACCAATAGTTTTGAAGTGCTACTGGATAGAACAGGTGGATTTACCGATGTGATATCGGATTGGGTGCTGATAGTTTCTGAAGCGCTATCAGATAGAGAGCAATGGAGTAACCTAACCTTTTCCCAACTAGTAAGTGTCTGAAAAAAGTTACTATTAGCTTGGGACATTATTGGGGACAAGATAAAGAAAACATCGACACCTACATTATTCATCGTAGGGATGATTTTTTGAGAAAATAACGAACTGTTCTAAATGCTGGCGAGTCTATATCGACGTGGGGAAAGCGGAGACCGGAATTAGTATCTCAGAACCCTGCAGTCGATTTTTTCGATCGAAGAGATGGGCACTCCGAGGAAATGGGGATTGGTCAGAAACTTTTGTATCATCGATTTAAAATTGTGACTTGTAAGTGTAACCTGATTTCGTTTATTACTCAGAAGTGCAGGATTTCACGTGTCGTCGTTTTCGTTGTTATGTTGAAAATGTGGTTTTAGTGTTGAATAGGAAAACGATACTTATGTACTCTGAAGTTATAATTCGATTCAGTTCTGTTATTATGGAAAGCTGTATTTTACTTGATCGGTTGTGATCAGACAACTGGTTGGCTAGCGCGCAAATACGTTCGACTCATGTGTGCCCGAGAAGCAATAATGGTGATGCCAACTTAGGGTGCATGGACTTTTCGTGTCTCCTTTGTTGGTTGATGTTTTCGACCTGTGGATGTGCACGAATTATTTAGTTTTTCTTGTATTTATATCTACGGAATTATTGAAAAATGGCATTTCTGAAGGGGACTAAGTTTATGGGGATCAAATTTGAGGATATAATGGTAACCAGAGTAGTAGTATGAAAAAAGTATGGTACCATACGAAACTTTTTTTACAACGAAATCGAAACCTTTTCTTAACTTTTCGTAAAATCCCAAGAAAGGTTCAAAATGATTGTCGAGCCTTCACGAATATTTTTGGAAGATCTCAAAAGTATCATACGAAACCTCAAAAAGACTTTGAATTCGTATCAAAATTCGAAACCTTCTTAAGTTTCGTGCTTCATACGAAATCATTTTAAATTTTCGTAGAGATTACAAAACTATCTTTGGTTTCGTGCGGTACCTTATTTTTTTGAGTGTATTACTTGAAGACCCAAGGGTACCCCCTAGTATGCCACTTGAAGGCCCAGGAGTACTGCCTAATATATGATTCGAGGACCCAAGGGTACCTTCTATAGCAGAACTTCCGGAGCCAAGGATACCTTCCTACAGTAGGACTTGCGGACACAAGGGTACCTTCATGTAGTAGAACTCTAGGACCTGAGGATATCGCTCTTTACTAATAATGGAGAACTCATAGGTACCCCTTTAGTGTAGGACATAAGAACTTACGGGTACTCCATTAGTGTAAGGCTTGAGGACCTAAATGTCCTCCTCTATAATAGAAGATGAGGACTCGAAGGTACCCCGTTTGATATGACTTGTGACCTCCAGGGTACCCTCTATATTAGTACATGAGGACCCAAGCGTAGCCTCTAGTATAGGACTTGAGGACCCAAAGATACATCCTTATTATAAGATGTGAGAACTCAAGGGTATCCTCTATAGTAAAGCTTGTGGCCTCAAGGATACCATTACCACCTACCGATAATGGTAACTTCCTACATCTACTCACCTCTAATATAAAGATTTTAAAAGATTTTGAGAGATTTTAAAAGGTTTTGAAAGATTTTGAAAGATTTTAGAGATTTTGAAAGATTTTGAAAGATTTCAACAGATTTTAGAGATTTTAAATGCTAAAATCTGCTTTTCCCCCTTGCCACACCCACACTTACATCCACACCCACACCCACACCCACACCCCACGCACTCACCCACACCCCTGAATGATATGCAGTTATTATTCCGTCAAATCACTGAATACTTATGAAAAACAATAATTTACTTGTATTTATCAAGGAATGCAACATGTTACGCAATAACATATGCCTAATAGTGTCTATTCTATCTGACGTACAGATGCGAAAGACAAGAAAACGAACGAAAGAAAAAAAGAAAGCTAACACATGAATGCATTTAATGCATTCACCATTATATAAACCTCTCTGCAGAATAGAAGCCCATTCGGAATAGAAGCCCAGTCCCAAAGTTATAGTTTTTCGGACGTAATAGAAGCCCACTCGAAATGTGTATATATAGAGAAATCAAGAAAACAAACATTCTATTGATAATTTTCAATTTTTTTAAATTAAATGTTCATGTCGTCAATCTATTTCTTTCGTTTTGTATATCTTCTTCTTTGACTATTGAACTTCGTTCGTCAATTGTGACCGTCGACAATTTTGTATAGAAAAAATAATTCTTTTTATTGTGTTCTAATTTTCGATATAAAAACAATCATATATATACATTTTAATACTTGTATTGCAACATTAATTCTCTATCGATTCGTAACAGTAATTCATTTTCATTCAAGTTGTGAATAAAAACTTATTTGGAATGGAAGAAACTCACTTATTACCATTACATTCTTTAACTCAAGAAATTGATATCGAGTCTGACTCTTCAATTAGTTCAGACGACGAAGTAATTGAAAATGTTATTCGAATGCTTGATAATGTAATAGATTTAACGGATATTACCAACGAATTACAAGACAATAAAGAAGATGATGATCAACAACAAGCTGAAATTGACATTCCAATATCTTCCATGAGTGATACAACAACTAATCTGATTCAACCAACAAAATCTCATTACAGCAACGACAAATCCATCGAAAATTCTTCTTCAAAACGTCGATCTTGGACTGTTCAAGAAAAACTAAATGTTATCAATGCATTTAAAAAATGCAAAAATATTTCTGAAGTTAGTCGACAACATCATTATGATCGAAAACAGATTCGGGAATGATTAAAAAAAGAACAACAATTGTTACTCATCAAGGGTCAAAAAAATGGGAAAAAAGTTGATCTTAATTGGAGCCCACCTTCAAATTTATAATTTTCCAAACAAATTAGAAGCCCAGTGGGCTTTTATTCTGCAGAGGGGTTTAATCACATCAAGTCTTTTTTTTTATTGTAGACAGTTCGAAAAATGATTGCTTTCCTATTTATTTTTTTTGTCATCTTATTGCTGATATACGTAAAACTCAAATATTTTACACTTCGCGGTCCAGTACCTGGTTTGTCGCCACATATCTTTTTTGGGAATATGATTCAATCAGGTATATTGTTTGGCAAAAAACCAGTGACTGAAGTCTTCATGTCATTCAAGGAACGTTTCGGTGATATTTATCAGTATTGGATTGGTTTTATTCATTTCACTGTCGTACATAATATTGATGATGTTCAATACATATTTACCCATCGAAATATATATGATGCAGGAGAGATATTTTTAGAAAAATTCAGCATTTTGTTTCCCGATAGTATCGTTTGTAGCACGGGTATGGTTTTCTTTTCCATTTGTAAGAAAGATTTGTTCATTATGATTTATAGGTGCCAAATTCAAGCGACATGGTGCACTCACAATGCCACTATTTCGTCGTAGCAAGATTATTTCGAATATAAACATAATTATTGACGGTACTGACAAACTACTAAATAGATGGCGTGCTAGACCATTGGGACAAGTGCATACGGATATCATCGAGCAGTGTCAAGATCTTTTACTTGAAATTTTTGGACTGATTGCTTTTGATTACGATTTGGAGACACTTGATAACAATAATTCAGAGAATAAGAATGAACTGACTAAAGCTTTACAATATATCATGAGCATATTTAAAATGATAATGTTTGCACCTAGAATCATTTCAATTATCTATTTGAAATGGAATCCTCAATATCAACAAGCACGAGCAACCGTCGAACGATATCTTAATAAGATGGTCGAACAAGAAATGACTGAAAGCCCAGATTTCACAGCACAACGAAAGAAAACGTCATTGATCGCATCACTAGTCAGTTCATTACAAACAGATGAGAAAACCGAAGCAAGAAAAAAGGAAGAAGATAAAAAAGGTAAAGTTTATCCATGAAATCCTTTCATTATATCATCGTTTTCAATAATTCATCATAGATTTCTATACTGAATTTTTGTCCGAAAGATTACACGCCGAAAATAACGCGATACTTTTGACGATTGAAATGGGGATAGGGAATGATATACACTTCACATTTATCGTATCTTGTAGATCATATCCACTGACGTATATGTTGAAAGGTTTAAGAGTTGTCGATTTTTAATAATTGACTAATTCCATTTTCCTGGAGTTGCAACGGAAATGATTGCTTGTGTCCATCTTTCGAACAAACATATATCTTCGTCACCATCTAATACAAATTATTGAAGTACAAAGTATGAACTTTTCTCTCAGGTCACTGTTCGAACTGAAATTACTCAGGATAGACCGCTAGGTGGGTTAGTAATTCGACAGCGCAAAAGAAAAATTAATTCAACACAGTTTCAACAACAAAACAGTTAGCTTTATAGAATATGCTGTTTTGAATTGAATTATGACCATAGTTTACCTTGAAGTTTTGTTCTATTACTTCTAACATTCTACTGTTGACAGGTTTATCACGAAAAGAACTTTTTGATGAGATGCTCCTGTTTATGGTTGCTGGTTATGAAACGACGTCTACCGCTCTCGCATGGTCTATCTATCACCTAAGTAAATATCCACGCATTCAACAAAAGATCAAGACAGAGCTGATGCAGTATAGTTGTGATCAATATTTTTCATTGAATCGTCTCGACTCACTCGTTTATTTGGATTGCTTTATCAATGAAGTACTTCGTTATTCTCCAACGATTGAAGCAACAAGTCGTACAGTGATCATGGACGATTATCTACCAAAAAGTGGTACTCGACTCTACAAAGGTAATCAAGTGCTTATTCCGACAACTGCTCTTGCTCGAGATGCTCATCATTGGAAAATTGATCCTGAGTTGTTCTATCCAGAGAGATTTCTTAATGAAGATAAAAATTATCATCCATATGCATTTCTACCATTCGGAAGTGGTCATCGTCAATGTCTTGGACAAGATTTAGCTCGATTTGAACTCAAAATAATTCTAGCTCGTATGTTGCAACAAGTAACATTCGGTGATGGTGGTCCTGAAGTCAATTCAGGTGGATATATTCAAAAATTGACTACCATGCCTAAACATATGGGAGTCATCATTGAATTCCACTGATGCATGAAAATCGATATTCTTCTCCATCACTTCTACTTTTTAATTTTCTGAATAAATAAAAATGTTGTGCGATGCACTGATAAAGAATAGTGTATTGATGACAAATTTTAGCAGTTGAAAATGCATGAAATTGAATGATAGATGAATGGGAAAATCGTCAAAATTCAGTATTTGTAGCAGTGTTCAGATTTTCAAGAAAGGCAATTTTCGAGATTACTAACACAGAAGCAGATAATTGCTAGGAAGCTGTAGTAATTATGAATTCATAGAAAAGAAATTCTAAGGCAAATTACAGAAACTTCTTTAACATCAAGACTTATAAATGAAGCTATGTCATTAGAAATGTAGAAACCGATTCCTGAATTAATTATAGTTTTCGGAAGTTCTGGCAACTTTTCAGTAATTTCTTAAAATTCACGTGACTTGAAGATTCGAGTCGCACTTACCCTAGAGAAAGTACTGAGTTTAGGGTACCAATGTACTGAGAAAGCTCTAGCAGGGTACCCAATATGGGTACTTTGAAAATTCTCAGTAATTTTACTGATGTATGTACTGTTTGGGGTACCCGTAAAAGTACATTCACTGAATAAGTACTGCATGGATACACAAGTCTGTAACTTTACTGAGGAAATTTCGGCAGGGTATCCTAAATTTTTCGCGTCCTGTGTGGCGACTATTCATTCACCGTTTTCTTTTTTACGTACGGCTTTATATAAACAACTCGATAAATCATAAGAAAATAATCAATTTTCATACTAGTTTTTTCTAAATTATTTCTTGACTATTTCTTAGTCGACGAAATGCTGAGCTTGGTCGTAAATTAAGATCGGACTACCCTGAAGTGATCTACGACCAACTCAAGTTGAGTTGGATCTCGACATTGTTCCTGCTAAGTTTTTGGAATTGAAAAAATTAAATTGAATAAAGTAAAAAAAAAATCTAGTAAATTATCTTAAGAAAAAGAAAAAATTTTAAAAAGTCAAAGATCAGGTTCGATCCTGAACGTACTGAAAATTTGGTAACAGGGTACTTAGAAATACTATACAATGGTACCCAATTCAGTACTTGATCAGTACCTTTAGGTACCCAATTACTGTGCATTCTCCAGCAGGGTACTTCCAATAGTACCACTTAGGTACCTGTAAGTACCTGCAAGTACTTTGGTACCCAAAAGTTCCTGTGACATACTGGTATCAGGGTACTTTTTTGGGTACCCTTAACTCAGTATATTCTCTAGGGTACTTACAATTAAATCGTATGGTATATTTATACTTAATAAATAGATAATATCAGTAATTTTGAGAAAGTATAAGTTAATATTGGAAGTTCTTAGTAAATACCGAAATTTTTCATCAATTTCCGAAATCTACTATATAATTGTCTTAGAATATTTTTCTTATGTTACAGTAATTTCCGAAATTGGATGGGTGTAGGTATGGATATCAGGGGTATGGATGTGGATGCTCTTTTCTTCCCTACCCACACCCACCCAAAAGGGTTTCGTATCGTACTTCTGTGATTTGTCAAAATCATCAAAGGTTTCGTATTAAACCCCTGCAAGTTTCGTACTAAACTTCATTAAAGTATCGCAGCTGGTACATTCCACATAAGCGACCGCTCCTTAGCCTTACTTGCGACTGAAGGGACTGAAAATGAATAACACAATCAATCGATTTTTAATTGTTCTAAATCAGTGTTCATGAACGTTATCCACTAAAACTCATAGCTAGTCTGTTATCAGAGTTGGACGAGTCTTTCAAGTAATGTTGAACTCGAAATCTTCTTATGAATAGAATGAAACTCACGTTCTTGAACTCCACTTTTCTGGAAAAAATACTTCCAATACACAAATCAACTGCAAAAAAAAGGGTTTTTCGGACTGTTAAAATCCAGAGAGTGACAGAGAATTAATGTAGCAATATCTATCGATGTGTAAAACTGGCGTATTTTATGCTTTTATTTCAAAAAGTAATCGAAATGTCGCGGCATCTTTCGAGTGAAACTCAGTTTTGAAAAACCGAAAAACGTAATTTGAAAGTACTTTCGTCCTAAATAATTTCTCTCATAAAACTTTTTTCCTGATACATTCTCCTTGAACACTCGACTCTGGGTGGTACATTTCAATAGTGATTATCATTCGTCGCTATGGTCTTTATCACCAGCTTATAGACTACAATAAACTTTTTGTTATTTGTATCAGCATGTCATTGCACTTACAAACTCAGTGTTTGTAATGCCAAGTGTACACTAGTGGAAGCAAAGTGCACAGACATTTGTATTTGTGAAAATAAGCGATGCTTTTCATTTAGTTTTTAAACGAGAGTTTACAGCGTATACTTTACAAAGAAAATTTGAAAAGTACTTTTAGCTCAGAAATTATGTTTAGACTAAAATCTTCTTTGATCTATTTTTATTTGTTCTAGCATTTACTGAATGAAATCACTCTCGTTGGCAATGCGGTCTTTTTCCTTTTCAAACTTATCTCATTTTGCTCTCAATACTTTCTATTCCATAGAAAAATTAAACAAATAAAATTTCTGATGATGAAACGAACAAAAGTTTTGATGGTTTTTAAATTGATTTATGAAAAGCGATAGTTTATTTAAGCAAGTCTTAAGAATTTCATTTTTAGTAAAAATTATGCAATGAAATTAACAAAAAGATTACTTTTCATCATTCAGTTTGAAAGACATAAAATGTTTGTCTGTTTCACCATTGCAATGTCGTAGATTTCTATTTTTACGAGTTTCAAGGTTTTCCAATAAGTGGCAAATAAAATCTACACTAATAACATATTCAATTTAGTTTTGTTCAAATCACACTGATATTCATGATGACGAAGATGATAATAATAGCTGGCAAATGTTGTGCGATTATTTAATTTTCGTTTCTAAAAATAGGCAATTGTAATTTGTCAATTCATATGAAATTCTAGGATTCTATTTTTTATGATGAATCGTACTTAAAGGATGAATTTCAAATTGTTTTTCTGTTTATTTATTACTGGTCCTTTTTTTTTTACTTCACGAAAAGATGAAAATTTTTTCATTTTTTTATTTAGTGAAACTTCGCCATAGTATACTTAATACACTTTGTTTAGAAAAATAAGCTTATATATACATTGCTTTTCTTTTTAAAAAGCGTATGCTACACATTATATTTCAGATTTCCACTAGAAACATTGTTACAAACTAATTGTTTTGTTTATTAAATTTATTCTTATATTTGTAGTAATAAGAAATCCATTGAAAGATCACCTTGGTAAGTTCTGTTTTTCTCAAGATTTAACTTAACAGTATATTTTTTAACTCGATATTTTTCTTGGTTTCATTTTATAGATCGTCGAAAAATTTTCATTCTTTGTTGTATTTATAATTTGATCGTTTTATAGAACAAGTATCTGAATTCGTTGCAGCAGTTGCTGTACGTATACGCATTTTTTTGACTTGGCATTATATTCATTGTTATTTTTTTATCAGGGTTTTAAGTTGCATTACAATTTACGACATCATTCACTAACTACAGACTTATACGTTTTATTGATATTGTTCAATACAGTATAATGGTTCCTCGTAATTGGAATTGTTCACAAGTAACCCGATGGTTGTTGTCTTTCAATAAAAATCAACAAGTTCTTAATATTTTTACTAGTAAGTGACCTTAATATGTTGCCACAAAATTATTATTTCTGCTCGCTGTGTGCTCAAGCTGGATCATATCCCACATTTCGAAAATTATTTCAGCACTTACAATACGTTCACAATGGGCAATCCAACTTTAAAGTTCGATGTGAACTTGGTCCATTATGTGGAACGAGATACACGAACTTTAAAGCTTACAAAGCACATGTTTATAGAGAACATGTAAATCTTCTTGATGAAGATTTATGTAAACAAGAAGTACAATTTGATACTGGTACACACACGAACAAAGTATCCCTATCAACGTATGATGATGCACAATTACACTTTGGCATTCAAGAGAACGATTTAGAAGACAATGGAAGCGAGAATGAAGGAGAAAGCGATGATGAAACTAGTTTTTGTTGATTGTTACTTAAGTAAGCAAAAACTCGATTATTAGAGAAAAAAGTCGATTTAGATTCATTTGAAAAGTTTTATTTAGAATTACTATTAAATCTGAGAGAAGGTTATTCTTTACCACAAAATATAATCCAAGCAATCACATTCGGATTTAAATCGTTGATTGAGCTAATCCATGAATTATTAAAAATTCAAGTTCAAAGTTCCTTCACTCGATGCCAAGCAACAACTGCTTCTTTATCAACAGACAATTTTATTTCACTGGTTGATGTTAACAAATTAATTTCGAATACTATAGAAAGAATGACAGATGTTACAAAAAATGAATACAAATTTTTGAAGTTATGCAAGAAATATTTCTTTTATGAGCCAGCAAAAGAAACAAAGTTAGACAATCCGAATGAAGTAGCATATTATATACCAATACAATCTAGTATTAGACAAATGTTGAGTAAGCCTGATGTATTAAATATGTTAATCAAAAATTATAATGAAACAATTAGTTGTAATGCTCTTGATCTTGATCTTATGTACGATTATCGTCATGGATCACAAGCAAAACAACATTCAGTTTTAAAAAGTAAACCTGATTCGTTGTTGTTTCAGTTATACATTAATGAAATCGGAGTAACCAATCCCATAGGTGCAAAAAAGGATACTCAAAAAATTACGATGATTTATTTTCAATTAGAAGATTTACCTAATAATGTCAAGTCAATGTTAAAATCAATTGGCCTTCTAGCAATGTATCATTCTGCTCATTTATCTGCAAAATCAAATCGAAGAAAGTTTTTTGATTCGATCGTCGAGGATCTCAATGCTCTTCAAACGGACGGACTTTATATTTCAGCTTTACGTGGTCGATTAAACTTTGCATTTTCTGTCGTAACTGGTGTCCATTTAGCGTCAATTGATATAGGTGGTTTTCAAAAATCTTTTAGTAATGGTCAATTTTGTAGACATTGTCATATAAATTATGATCAACGATTTATTCCTTTATATGAAATTTCTCATGTTCAAAGAACACAAGATCAACATGATAATTTAGTTCAACAAGTATTACGTTTGAATAATAATAATGTTATAGGTGGTGTTATTGATGAAAGTCCATTATCAGAATTAATTGGCTTTCATACTGTTATATCTTTACAGAATGATGTCATGCACGATCTAAATGAAGGTATACGAAGAGAGGTTTTTTCTAGGAAACAATGACTTTCTCTCTATTTAGGTCTTTGTGGTCAAGTATTGCTAGCCATGTTAAAAGAAGCATCAATAAAACGACTTCTTTCTTATGCAGAAATTGAAGATCGGTTGATATCATTTGAGTATGGTTCTTATGATAAGAAAAATAAACCACCGTTTTTAAGAAAAAAACATTTGCATAAAGGAAAAATAATCGGTACAGCATCTCAAAAAATGTGTTTATTCAAGCTGTTTCCGATTATATTTTATGACATAATTGATCGATTGGATACAAAAGATGTCTATATTTGTTTGCGTGAAATTATTAGTCATGTATATGCTTGTCCTTTTAGAAAGTCATGGTTATCTTATTTAAATTCTTTAACTGTTCGTTTTCAATGTTTGATGGTTCATCTATTGCCTAATTTTGTCTCATCGAAGGTTCATCTTATTACCCATTATGCAAAACAAATTGAAATGAATGGACCAGCTGTTAAACACTGGTGTATGAGTTTTGAGTCCAAACATAAGATTTTTAAACAACTTGCTATTAAATCTAACAACTACAAAAACATTCTTCATAACGGGTGCCCCATAATAAATGTCCCACTTTTCGCTTTGTGCTTAAAGTTATCTGACACGCTTTATTTTAAATCAAAATACATCAGTACATGCAACACAGTTAGGTGTACAATATGTACTAAAAATACTATTTAATATAAGCACCTCTTGTTTTTAAAATTGAAAAAATTCTACTAGACCAATTTTCTACACTGCGAACAACACCTGTCATTGGTACACGACTAATACCGTTTCTAATTTCTTTTATTAAAGAATCGTAATTTTTGACGTTTTTCTAATGCGTATGGTGACCTATGGCGTCCCATACATGATAATCCAAAATGTTGAGATCCGGACTATTAGGAGGCCATTTTTTTGCATCGATGAACCGTTTGAAGTTCTTCTTAATCCATGTTATTGATTTCTTGTGAGTATGCGGCGTTGCATTGTCTTGCTGGTAAATGAAATCATCACCTAGTAGACGTCTACCTTCGGCTAATGCATGAGGAAGAACAACCTTAATATAGTTTATATGTTTTAATGTTTCACCAGGTTTGAATATGATCGGAGTTGTAAGACCATTTCTAGATGCACCTAGCCATACCAATATTCTTTTTGGAAACTTGGATACTGGTCTTGTTCCACCATGTTCATCAGCTTCTTGTCGACTTGCAGCATAGACACGGTCGTTCTGGCGATTCAATATTCCATCTAATCCAAAATATTTTTCATCAGTAAATAAAATTTGACCACGGTCTTTTTTTCGTAATGATTTGTTCACGCAGTATGCAAATGAAATTCTTGGTTGTTTGTAGTCATCTTTAAGATTTGGCTGAGTTGTAACGTGATAAGCATGTAAATGGAGATCTTCTCGAATTATACGACCAATTATTCCTTTGGAAATCCCAAGTGATTTAGCCAATTGCCTTGCACTTCGTCGTCTTTTATAATTAAACCTATGTTTCACCTTATTCATCAGATGTTTTGTTCGTACAATTCTTGGTCTACCAACAGGTGTATTCAAATCAATTGTGCCTGTTGTTTTATATAAATGTTGCCACCGTCTGATTGTATGATCGGTGTCAACCATTCGTAGTTGTTTAGCAATTTCACGTGCTGATAACCCGTCATTAGTCATTCGCACTACAGTTTGTCGAAGGTCTTTAGATTTCATTTCTTAAATTAATCTAGAAAGAACTTACAGTGGTGAAATCACGTCATTATGTAACTCTTCGGATCTCCAAACATAATAGATGAAAACAAATGAAAAATATGGATTAGTAGTATATCTTTTCATTAGTGTAAAAGTGGGACATTTATCATGGGGCACCCGTTAAGTGTGATTTGTTGCATTTATGTGTGTTTAAGATAAAACACTGCCTGAGAAAGGAAGGTATAGAACCCGAAGGAAAGAAAATGAGGTATACACTGTAAAAAAAAAGGGAATGCCTATATGAATTCTGGAAGAATATTCAAAGAATGTCCATATGAATTCAACAATGAATTTCCAGCTTTTTGAAAATAAGCAAATGATATTCTAGCTTCGATTTAACATAGGAGATAAAACTGAAATTCTTAGAATTAGAAAATCCAACATTTTCAAAATATTCAAAATTCGATGAATAAATCATAAGACTTATAAAATCCTTTAGCTTCCTCAATATCGATTTTCTTCAAAATAGAATTTAAAAAAAAATTACAGTGTATAACGTTGTCGGAAGCTCTGACGGATCTTACATGAATGTTATAAGATTGTACAAGGACTGGCATTAAGATCGTACAAGAATCGTACAGTACGATTTCATCTGATATGGTGGCTTTGAGGTAATCGTACAAAATCGTACAAGATTATATACGATTTTCATACGATCTTGTATGATCGTACTTAGGTCTGACCAAAAGTTCTGCAATTTTTACAAAAAAAATTAAAGAAAAAGAGAAAGTTCGAGTTTTATTTTATTAAATGTTCAAAATAGTCCCCATGATTATTTATACAAAGTTCCATCCTTTCTAACAGTTTGTCAAAAGTTTTTTTATATTCTTCTTCTGGAATATTTTTCACCACCTTGGATACCGCACGAGCTAATGATTTTTCATTTGGTTGATCGATTAAATTACACTTGATGTAATCATTTAGCCAATAATCACACGGTGCAAGGTCAGGTGAATATGGTGGATGTGGCATTATATTGATATGTTGTTTTGTTAAATAATTAATAACATCGGATTGAACATGGGGTTGAGCATTGTCTTGGAGCAATTTTATACCTTTTGTACCTGCTGACTTTCTTTGTTTCCATATTTCCTTCACGACAGGCTTGAGGCAATTTTCAATATAATAGTCGTGATCTATAGTCTTGTCTTCATCAACACAATGTATAAGAACAGGACCATTTGATTTAAAGAAAATAGAAAATAAATTTTTTGGTTCAAATTTGCTTCGACGAACTACAGTAGTTGGTGATTCACCTTCGCCAACCCAACTTGCGTTCTTTGACTTGTGATGAATCTGCCTATGGTAAATCCACGTTTCATCACCTGTTATAATATCACATAATCGCTAGGAACCATTTTGAAATTTCGTCAAATTTTCACGACAAAGTTTAACTCGTTGTTGTTTTTGTTCATCAGTTAGTTGATGGGGTACCCAACGAGATGTAACTTTTTTCATCTTGAGACAGTCGTGGATAATTCGCTCTGTTATACCATGAGAGAGAGAAGTCTCAGCTATAATTTCATCATAAGTTGAATGTGGATCATTGCTGATAACTTGTCGAACCAGTTCAATGTTTTCATCTGTAAGTTCGGATACTGGACGACCAGATCGAGGATCATCATTGACATCTTCTCTTCCTTCACGAAAATGTTTTGCCCATCTTGTAACTGTTGTATATGATGGAGCATTGGGTCCCAAAGCTGTTACAAGTTCTTCATGAATTGTCTTTGGATCTATTTTCAAAATAGTTCGAATTTTTATATAATATCGATTGAGTTCATTATCCATTAAAAAAAAATCTTTTTTGGTTCAAATGAAAGTTTATCTGAAAAAGTACTATAACTAAGTCCAAAATAGATTTACTATATATATCATTATAGACAAGACATTCCACTATTTATCCATGCAACAATCTCTTGAATGTTAATTGGTTTATAAAATTGCCAATAACGATTGCAGAACTTTTGGTCAGACCTAAGTAAAGATCGGACTTACGATCTTATATGATCTTGTAAGAATCGTATAAGATCGTACAATCGGATTCTTTCACCTGGGTATAGCAACGCTGCGGTGCTTGAATATATTACGATATTTAGCGTCGCTATAATGCCAAATAACGCCACTATACGGTGTTTTGACGCTATAACGGCGCTAGCTCAAAAAAAGAACGACATGGGAGTACTTTCATCATCGCTTTCTTGGTGTTGTGCAATTAACAGGGTTTATCGTTCCTTATTCTCTTACCATTCTGACTCTCCATTTCTATTAGTAACTCAACACCCAATGTCGTTTGAATCTTTTCTCGTCTATTCAAGTAATTTCTCTCCGTTCTTCGCATGTTATTTCACCATACTCAATAGATATTTACTGAATCATATTCTTGACGCATGTCTGTTTCATCAATAGAGGAAAAATATGATATATAATAACAACCGATAAACGTACAAAGCACACATTTTTTTTCAACATGCTTCGAATTAAACAAGACTCACAGGTAGTTATTCAACGTTCGGAAGAACAACAGTACGTACCTCTCAAAAGAGTGAATGTTGAGGCCACTATTCGATCGTTTGCTGCCGATGTAAAGATTACTCAAGTGTTTCGAAATGATGAAAAAACCTCGATCGAAGCGGTCTACTGTTTTCCTATTGAAGAACAAGCAGCTGTATATGCTTTTGTGGCACGCATCGACGATCGTGAAATTGTTGCTCAATTGAAAGAGAAGAAGGAAGCTCAGCAAGAGTATACTGAAGCACTCCAGCAAGGTCATGGAGCTTATTTACTTGAACAAGATGAAAAATCGCAAGACAATTTCATCATCAATATTGGCGCTCTTCTACCTGACAAAGAATGTGAAGTTACTATCTCGTATGTCTCTGAATTGGATCTGGTTGAAAATGGTACTAAAATTCGCTTTGTTGTTCCAACAACCATTGCACCTCGCTACAATCCTGATAAGGGTAGAGTCAGTTCTCCAGCTGGTACTACCTCCAAATATGTTCAAAAAAGTCCGTACACCATTGGATTTCAATGTCAGATTGAAAAAGTAGGAGTCGCTCGTGTCAGTTCAGCATCTCATCCAATTCAAGTAGATCTCGGCAAACAAGATGCTTATATAATTACGTTCGCTCAAGAGAACACTCATTTGGATCGTGATATTCTCGTTGATATCGAACTAAGCAAGAATCGATCAAACACGATTGTTGCTGTTGAATCTGGTGCAGTGATGACCTCATTTACACCGAGTGAAGAAGATTGCCAGAAGGCTGTGAATAATGTTGAGACTACGAATGAATTTATCTTTATTGTCGATTGCAGTGGATCAATGGAAGATGAAGGCAAAATTGGTCTGGCTCGCCAAGCCATGTTACTCTTTCTCAAAAGTCTTCCAGTCAACTGCCAATTCAATATTGTTCGATTCGGCTCTACCCATCAGACTTTGTTTAACGACATCACTGCCGTCTACGACGAGAAGAATGCTGAAAAAGCTGAAGGGTTAACCAACAGAATGAAAGCCGATTTGGGTGGTACTGAACTGGTAAGTATACCTTCTTTCTGCATTTTTTTTGTTTACCACAATGATCGTTCTCTTCTAGTTGAGTCCTCTTCAATGGCTCGAAGCAAATCCTCCAGCTCAGGGTCGCGCACGTCAAATTTTTCTACTTACCGATGGTGAAATTTCAAATGTCGATCAAGTGCTCGATCTTTGTCGTTCCATGGCTACTTCTTCTCGCATTTTCTCTTTTGGTTTGGGTCATTCTCCTAGTCGTTCGCTTGTGAAAGGCTTAGCTCGAGCGACGAATGGACGTTTTGTTTTCATTCCACCGAACACCAGTGTCGACGTGCATGTCGGTGAACAATTACAAAAAGCTCTACAGCCTTGCATTACAAATGTGCAAGTCAAATGGAACTTGGGCACGACAGCATTAATGAGTGTGCCGACAAAAATACCACCTGTTTACATTAACGATCGACTTATTGTCTATGCTCTCGTTGAAGATAAGTCGCATGAATTTGATCATAATTCGAGTGTCGAATTAAAGACGGAACAACATCGACTGGGTGAGGCAAGCATCACTCAAGTGCCCAGTGTGAGCAACAACGCGACGATCGCTCGACTGGCTGCTAAAGCACTTATTCTCGAATTGCAACATTTGAAATTGCCACCATCATCCAATAAAGGTAATGTAGGCTCACTGCAACCTCGATTTCAACAGTCAGCTGTATCAAAAGATGAAAATACAACAACAAAAGAAACTACACAGAAACGCATCATTGATCTGTCACTTAAATATAATATTCTCAGTCCTCATACGGCTTTTGTCGGCGTTGAGAAACGACTAAATGCTAGCAATGCAGATATGGTTTTGCGCGAAGTGCCTATTCAAATATCTGCAGATGATCAACATTTAGGAATACATTCTTCAATGCCTTTCGCTAGTACTGCAGGTTCAATGCGCTGCTTTGCGGCAATGCCCCAAATGATGATGACGTGTAATTCGTCAACCAGTTTTCTCAAGAGAGCTGCTCCACACGGCGCGACCGGTATCCGTTATAAGAAGGATGTCTGCGTGGAATTAGATTCATTTAGCAATGATGATATAGTTGAACCGTGGAACGTTCATGGATCGTCGAGTGCCACCAACCAAAAAGCAAAGGAAGAGATGTGGCCGACGGATAATCAAGATATTGTTCGTCATTTGATCAACAAACAAAAATTTGATGGCTCCTGGGATTTGGATTCAAAGAGCATTGAACAACTGACCGGTAAATCGCTGAGTGACTTTCAACAGTCCACAAATAGCCAAGTGCTCGTCTCGGCCATTGTCATCGCCGTACTTGAAACACGATTTGCTGCGTTGTCGTCAATGTGGCATGGTGTTGTGCAAAAAGCACGTAAACGTCTCATTGATCTTCTTGGCAAAGATAGCAAAAAACTTGACAGTTTACTCGAGGACATTCGCAAAAATTTATAAACTTATTTCCACTTTTATTATAACAAAAAAAACATTCATCAAATTTTTCTCCTTATAATCTAGAACAAAGGCAGAACTAATAATTTTAATATTCATGTAATTTTTGCTTTTTATATTAAATGGAACTGTCACAAAATGAAAAATGATTGAAGTTAGAATAAGAATAAAGATTGCAAAATCTCTTGTTAAAGCTCCATTTTACAGTTAGAATATTATATTTGATTGAATTGTTATAGAAAATAATAATAAATTAAAAAGAAAGATCCCTAGTTTCAATCCTGTCCATTCCTTGAGAAATCCTGAAAGATCCTTTCAGGGTCCTGAAGTTCAAAGATTCTATCAATTTTTATTCTGGATCCTCTATCGAATCCTAACAAATCCTGCTTCCAGGATTTTTTTTAAGGTAAAAAAAAGGATTCTTTTCAGGATTTCTTCAAGTTCCTGCTTAGATATTTTTCTGAATTAAGAATACAAGTTCCTTTCAGGATTTACTTAAGATCCTATCAAGGATCCGCTCAAGATTATAAGAGAGAGAGAGAATTCTGCCAAGATTTTATTAGGTTCTCTTCAAGATATACATCAAATCTTCATATCAGAACCCTATCGGAAATGATAGCCATATTAGACGAGGATCTTCTTAAGATCATTCCTGTACCAACCTTCTGTCGCAAATCTCAATCCTAATTAGAATCTTAATAAGAAAATGTAAGGATTTAGTAAAGATCTTTACAAATTACTATTCAGTGCGTCCATCCATGTCTATGTCTTGAGAGAATCTTGAAGAAATTTGAAGAATCGTAAATCTTGAGGATCCTATCAAGTTCAGTTCAGGATTTTCACTAGGATCTGTTCAAGTTCTTGCTCAGATTTTTTTTTTCAATCGATTTTGCAAGATCCTGCTAAGATCTATAGTTCATCCTACTCAAAAATTTGACATAAATTATACTGAGGATTTCTTCAAGATTTGAGGGTGTGGGTGTGGGTGTGGGTGTATGCAATTCATACCCACACCCACACCCAATGATTGTCGTGGGTGGTGTGGGTTGGTGTGGGTAGAGAATACTTCCTATTCCCAAAAGTTACACATTCCTGCCTCGCCTTCTTACCCGGACACCCTTACCATCAATTCCGGATATCCCAAAACGACCCTTTCCCTCAAATTCATGCCACAACCAGGAATTCCTGATTATTAGTTCCTTTCAAATCCAACTCTGAACATTCAATTTCGGGTCATTCCGGGTACTTCCACAATTAGAAGGATATACTGAATAACCAAATAATGATCTTCAAGCATCTATTCGATATCAAAGCGGGATTCCGGAATCTGTGCACATCTGGAATCACTAGGAAATGCAGGAATTCCTGGTCATTCCTGCCTATTCCGGAATTGCAAATATCGCATGGATGGCTAAGTAATCATTTATCGAGCTTGAAGAAATGCAAAGGGGAATTGCGGAATTCGTGCACATGCGGAATCACCAGGAAATGCAGGAATTCCTGGTCATTCCTGCATAATCCGGAATTACAAATATCTCGTGGATGGCTAAGTGATCATATATCGAGCTTGAATAAACGCAAAGCGAAATTCCGGAATTTGTGCATATCCGGAATCACTAGGAAATACAGGAATTCCTGTCATTCCTGCCTATGCCGAGATTACAAATATCTCATGGATGGCTAAGTGATCATTTATCGAGCTTGAATAAACGCAAAGCGGAATTCCGGAATTTGTGCATATCCGGAATCACTGGGAAATGCAGGAATTCCTGGACATTTCTGCATATTCCGGAATTACAAATATCTCAAGGATGGCTAAGTGATCATTCATCGAGCTTGAAGAAATGCAAACGGGAATTCCGGAATTCGTGCGCAACCGGAATCACCGGGGAATACAGGAATTCCTAGTCATTCCTGCATAATCCGGAATTACCAAAATATCATCGATGGCTAAATGATCATTTATCGAGCTTGAATAAATGCAAAGCGGAATTCCGAAATTTTTGCACATCCGGAATCACCAGGAAATGCAGGAATTCCTGCTCATTCCTGCCTATTCCGAGATTACAAATATCTCATGGATGGCTAAGTTATCATTTATCGAGCTTGAATAAATGCAAAGCGGAATTCCTGCACATCCTGAATCACTCGGAAACGCAGGAATTCCTGGTCATTCCTACATATTCCGGAATTAGAAATATCTCATGGATGGCTAAGTGATTATTTATCGAGCTTGAATAAACGCAAAGCGGAATTCCGGAATTCCTGCACACCCTGAATCGCTGAGAAATGCAGGAATTCCTGGACATTCCTGCATATTCTGGAATTAGAAATATCTCATGGATGGCTAAATGATCATTTATCGAGCTTGAATAAAAGCAAAGCGGAATTCCGGAATTTCTGCACATCCGGAATCACCAGGAAATGCAGGAATTTCTGCTCATTCCTGCATATTCCGAGATTACAGATATCTCATGGATGGCTAAGTGATCATTAACACATTCACCACGATTCAAATTCCATAGAAACTAACAGCTTTAAATACGTTTTATTAGAAAACAAAACACACCACAAGATGCAACATGAAAAGCTCTACAATCTACATATAAAACTTATTTCAATTGTGTACTTTTTGTTTTCAAAATAAACTAAAATTGTGTGTAGGGATGCACCAGTCCCAGTTCTGACTGGTGAACTGGGTGTCCAGTCCGGCTGGGTACCCAGTCCGACTGGGTACTGAGTCCTTTGATTTTTAGTCCATTAGTCAAGTAGTACTTTCTTTTCGAGTATATTGCCGTATAGGGATTTTTAAGCTGTTGAAGTAGTGAAATAAGTTATAATACTAAATCCATTGGCTAATCATATATTTCTATATATCAATCGTTATAATTTAGAATACTGTAAATGAATTTTATGTTTTCAGGGTGTGGGTATGGCTAGAGTGTAGATGTGCGTGGGTGGCTTGTGGATGTGAGTGTTGTTTGGATGGATATGGGTGCGGATGTTGTTTGGATGTGGGAATAGTTAGAATGGCAATAACGACACCCATAGCAACGTCAAACCAACCTCCAGACCCACACCCTTAGAAAAGAGGGAAGTACCGATAGATTAGCGAAATAAACGTCAAATGACTAAGTACCCAGTCGGACTGGATACCCAGTCCGACTGGGCACCCAGTCCGACGGGGACCCAGTTACTGGCACTGGTGCATACCTAATTGTGTGTGACCAATTTTTGAGGTTGCGAAAATTGATTGCACAGAATTTTTGCTTTTTTCGAAAACAAACAATAAACTTTACGATGTAGATTGTAGAGCGTTTCACACTGCATCTTGTGCTATATTTTGTTTTTTCTTACGAAATAATATTAGGTGATAAAAAGATGCAACAAGAAAAATGAAATTTCACATTCATGCAGAAAAAATGACCGTTTCGTAACTTTGAGAACTAGTTACGCACAGTTTTACTTTCTTTGAGAACAAAAATTACACCATTAAAATAAGCTTTACTATGGGGATTGTAGAGCTTTTCACGCTGAATCTTATGGTATATGTTGCTTTTTTAATAAAACGTATTTAGAGATTAAAATATGAAATGCAAAGTGGGGTCCACCGGTGGACCCCATCGTGGTGAATGTGTTAATTTATTCCCACCCACACTCACGTCTATGGTGAGTGTATCTACTTACGTTTCAGCCTTTCAAGTAGATATTTACAGGTAGCGTGTTATGATTGATAATTTTCTTGGAATCGTAAGAACTGATACTGAGGCTACTTGATAAGATTGAGTTAGAAACATCGAAATACCTAGAAGATGTCAAGGTATCATGGTAACTTTTACACACTTCACCCACATCTGAAAGGTAAGATTTTCTAGCATCGTCTTACTATCCTCTGAAGACATAGTATCCATTATGATAGTTCATCATCGGTACGATATCGATACTTTCAGTAACACATCATGGTTGTACAGAGTATTCCAATAGAAAAAGTCAAAGCATCTTCAACA